AACTCTGCAGGATAGATTCGTTAACATATTATAATACGTTTTAGATTAAATTTCCATTTTTCTTAGTATATTTTTGAAATTTATGACACATCCTTTTGTTTTGAAGCGCACCTACGTTTCATTCGTGTATTATATATAATAAAAAATCATTATTTTAAATCAATTTAGAATTAATCGGGAATAAAACACTTWTTATAAATAATGTCTTACTATCATTAAAACATGGGACGTTGAGGTATTTAAACCTATCAAACTAAACCATTCTTTAAATTAATTATATTTTTTTTACATTTAAGTATGATGTGTGTATGGAACGAATCTATGGACTTCATTATTTCARACATTTATGTTTCGTTAATTTGATTTAGTCATCTTTAAACTATATTAACTATATTTAACTGTATTCATTATTATTTATTTAAAAAAAAAAATTGATTAATTCAATATAATTCAATATTGATTCTAGGTAAACCGTTGTACTTTAAAATAATTTTCCCATTTCATTAAAACATTGAACGATTTTTTTCTGAGTGTAGCTTTTAATGGCGTTATCCATTTTTAAATTGTTTAACCAATGAGACAACTTTATTATAGGTATGACCAACCTTAGGTAKTTCTTTAGTATTATGAAATATTGAAACCGTAGACTTTGTAAGGTGATTACCAAGCATGTCAGCCCTCTTTTATCCTCTTTAATGCGCATTTATTCAAATTTTGACTGTTGAAACTTTCATGTATACTTAAGGTTCATATTTACAAACATTTGGATTTTATGTGCCATTTGTGGAGTGTCTTATGGCTCTACAGGCTTATTTTTTATATTTAAATGAAAACCACACTTTTGCACTGTAAATTGTAAATASCTTAATAGCATATGATTTTTTTGRAAATGTTGACATATCTATMTATAACTAAATCAAACGAATAGGTAGCTACTGTAGTTATCAAACTTTATCTACAAAATATAATAGTCCTAAATAATGGTTTTACACAAAATAAAAATGTATTATTTATTATAGGTACTGAGATGATTTTCACAAATTATTAAATCTAAATTTAATTTTTGTGGAAAAAATCCGACACTTAAAACTGTGTTTTACGTCGCATTATTTAATACCTAACCAGCATAAACGCGATCTCACTTATTACTGTGATTAAAACTTGAGGCTTACTATTTTTTGGACTATTTAGAAAAAACATGCAAATGCATATAAACCCGGGCCCTACTTATTAGTTATCTCATCATATTACAGTAAAACCTCTATATAATGAACAATCGTGTAGAATGAAAAATATCCATTTTAGGGAGATGTCCACTTTATTGAGAAAACCTCTACATAATGAATATTTGCGAAAAATCGCTAAATGTCCACATTTTGTAGAGACACTATAAAGAATTGGTTATATATTTACATATACATACATTAAAGTTGACACATATTTATTTATTGTTTATTATATCATAAACATACAGTATACAGCATATTATTACAATATGTATGTATTTAAAAGTGTGTATAAAAATGT